TTGTTCTGCTTAACAATGGTTCAAACATCTTGGTGACCATCCGTTGGAATGTTGCCCCTGCGTTCTAAGGCCAAAGGGCATGACCTTGTAACAATACAGTCCTCTTGGCGTTGTAAAAGATGTGACCTCCTGGTCTGGCTCATACATCGCGATCTGATGGTAACCTCTGTACGCATTAAGAAAGCTAAGACAGTTGTGTCCTGCCGTCAGATCTACCAGTTGGTCTATCCGTGGAAGAGGAAAGCTATCTTTTGGGCATGCCTTGTTGACCGTTTTGTAGTCCACATAGACACGCCATTTTTCATTCTTCTTAGGCACCACTACTGTATTGGAGATCCATCTAGGGTAGTGCACCTCTCTGATAGCTCCTACTTCTAGCAGGTTTTCTACTTCTTTGGCCACTATCTCGGCATGGTGGAGTGTCGATCTGCGAGTGTGCTGTATAATTGGTCTGGCAGTTGGGTGGACATTCAATTGGTGACAGATGAAGCTTAGGTCAATGCTAGGCATGTCATACGGCGTCCAGGAAAACACTTCGATGTTAGAGGTCAAGAATTCCATGACCTTTATTCTCTTGGTGCTGGACATAGATGAGCCAAGCAAAAAGAACTTATACGAGTTCTTTTCATCTATTCTTACCTGTACCAAGTCTTCCACTGCCTTTTGTTCTGCGGCTTTGCCAACATCCACAAACAATTCATTGCTCTCAGGTTCTTCCACCATCTGAACAAACCCTTTGGCAGCTCGACTGCCATTTACTGTAACGAAGCATTGCTTGGACATAATTTGGTCTCCATAGACCTCTTCAATTACTCCGGTTTCGTTGGGGAACCGCATTACTTGATGGTAGGTTGACGCTACCGATCGCATGGCGTGCAGCCATGTCCTCCCCAATATTATGTTGTAAGTGGAAGTGACTTTCAATACCCAGAATTTCACTAGTTTCGTCATACTTTCTGCTCTGACTGGGAGGATTATCTTGCCGACTGGCCACTCTGGCATTGAGTTGAACCCGAACAGGAGAGATACGATAGGTGCCAAGTCTTTGTCTTCCAGTTTCAATTGTTTGAAGGTTTCACAATACATTATCTCACATGAGCTCCCATGGTCGATCAAGATTCGCTTGACGTCGTAATCCTTGATGCGGAGAGTGACGACCAGTGCATCATTGTGAGGGCAATATATCCTTGCCAAGTCTATGTTTGAAAAAGACATGACATTCATGGCCTCTGTTTTCCCCTTTTTAACGGTGGGCTGCGCACTTAATATGTCCTTTAAGTGCTCAGCCATCTTTATTATTCCCCCGAGCTTACATACTCGCTCAGGTTCGAATACCCATGTGTTACGTTTATCACGCCTTGAGGTGGGGCGTTAATCGGGGTTCCGTCTGGGTGATCATGGTTTTGGGGGGCTGGCTGCGTCCCTCCTTCTATGTACCGGTCCAGGTGACCAGCTGCCACTAACTCCTCCAGATGCTGTCTCAACGACGTGCAGTTTTCAGTGCGGTGCCCCTTTTCCTTATGAAAGGTGCATTGAGATCTTTCATCGTAGTCCTTCTATGCCTCTTCCAATTTAGCTAGCCATTTGACGAAAGGTTCATCGCGTATCTCACTGAGAATTCAGTAGATTGGTTTCTTGAATACCGTGGTAATGGTAGTGCGGACTCTCAACCATCTTTTATCTCGGTCCTCTTTGTTTTCTCGCCTGCCTCGTCCATTCTTGCTTGGACGTTCTACCGTATTGACCTTCGTCGTAGTCTTCTTATCTAGCTCTGCTGTTGCACTAGATTTTGCTTTAGCACGGGCGCCATCCTCCTCTACCCAAATATGTTGGTGCACTCTCTCCATCAAGGCTTCCATCGTGAGGGGTGGCATCATAGTAATTGAATCCCTCAACCTGTTTCTGACTGGAAGTCCTCTTTTGTATTATGCGATGGCGAGATTGGTGGGCCAGTCCCCTATCTGGTTGAACGTCTCCCAGTAGCGACTGTTGTAGGATCTCAACGTCTCCTTGTCGCCCATGTCAATGGAGAGTAGCTGATCGATCTCTACTAGCGTCTTAGTGTTCGTTCTGAACCTTGTCACGAACGCCTCCGCTAACTGCGCCCAGGAGGCTATGCTGCCTTCTGGTAGCCTTTCAAATCATAGGTTAAACCTAGGTCGCCAAGGCTGGATGGGAATAGGATGCACATCAAAGCCTCGTTCTGCCGGTATACTGCCATGACCTAGTGAAAGTGGCTTAGGTGCATGTAAGGGTCTGTCTTCCCTTCGTACGTCGTAAATTTAGGCTGGATGAAGCCTGAAGGTAAGGGTGCGTTTTTAATCGCCGGAACGAACGGCGACCTATGTAGCCTTGCCAATTCTTTATCTGTTGGTTCGTAGGCAAGGTACGGTATTGGCATTCCTACCTCGACGCTTCCGTGCGTCCGAGGAGCCAACCGCTGAAGGGCTAAAATTCTGTGTGGATCGCGTGTCCTGGCATCCTCCTCCTGTCGTGCCCTTTCTTCAAACACAGTCCGTAAGTCGGACGATCTAGGCAACTCCGTTTGCCTAGATGATGTCTGGTGCGTATGTAAGGGCCGATAGGTACTTCCCTCAGTGTAAGACCTCAATGATCTCGTTCTGTCAGACCTGGAGTAACGAGTTCCGGAAGTCCTTGATTGAGTGTCACCTAGCCTGAGGCTTTTATTCTCTGCTTGCGATGGCGTGGTATGCCTACCACGATCTTCAGAGTGGCAAGGAGGCGTATTGCTTTTGCACCCCTCTCCTGTCGTCATCCCTTTCCCTTTTATCTTGTACTTCATCAATTCCATGTCCGCCGCCATCTTCCTGATTAACTTGTCTTGCTCCTTTACCCGATCCTCCAAAGCTTGAGGGTCGATCCTCCGCCTCTATCTATCAGGACTTGATGAGCGACGGGGGCTGTTACCCCGCCTTCCTGTTGTATCCCTTCGGGGATTCTGTCACTGGGGCTCCAGATCTGCCATGGGAGGGATGGAAGGCAAAACTTTGCACCTCCCACCTCTCTCTAGAATTTGCCCGTCAATGGTAGACTGCGGCAAATCTTCATTGTGCGCCATTGCGTCTAATCTAGTGAGGAAAACTTTGATCAAGTGGTTTTGTTCTTTTTGTGATTCCCACAGATGGCGCCAATTGTACGAGTAAGAAATATTCTTTCTCGTATAATCCTGTTGATCAAGTCTGTGCTCCTCCGTACGACGTCGCTTTACTCCCTGAAAACACAAATGCGAGCTAGCCGGCGGGTGTGTGCTGGATACCTCTCCGATGCCTAAGTCAGCAAAATAGACAAATAGACAAAAAGCTCTATGTATTCGGGAATCAAAATTGTGTTATCTCTCCATAGGTGATGCTGTGACTTTTGTAGGTTCCGCGTGGCACAATCCTAGTAGGACTCTTACTCCTCCATATAGAGTCCTCATTGGAATCATATTCCTGAAAGATAATGCTTATCCTTCAATGCTCCTCTCACTGCTTGAACCAAGTAAGATGGTTTTACCATGGTCGGATTCCAATATGACCGAGGTAAGCATGGCTATGCTAAGCCGCAGAATAGACCGAACTATCTAGTTCGGTTCTTTCTTTCACTGCTCTTACCTCGGTTTCTTCTATACAACCCATGGTGTGCCTAGACCGAGATAGCAAATAGCAAGGTTCCAACCGAGTTAACCACAGTATGCTATGACCAAGCTAACATTGAGCATGGTGACCGAGCTAACTGCAAAGCTCTCTTGAACCGGACTAACTTCAAGGTTTTCTCGGACCGGGCTAACTTCAAGGCCTTCTTACTATGGCCCATAACAGCCCATTACCCAGCTCGGCCCAATTTAGACATAAATTACCCTCTCAAAATGTTAAAATGCGAGATTTATATGATTTAAGGAGGGACATTACTACAATTTTATAAGGGATAAATAATACATAATAATTATATATAGGGATAATAGTGTAAATATAAAAAATTTAAAGGGGGCATGTGACCCCCGTAGGCCTAAGGCAGCTCCGTCCCTCCATATGGCATATCTGCAAGAGTAAAAAAGTGGGAGAGAGTGTGAAATTTCATATTTTTTAATACTAATTCCATAATTTATAGCTTTTGGATGTAAAACTGTGAAGTTATTCAGTGATTTACTTGGTGTCACTAGACTTACTTGGAAGGTTGATGACAACAATTTCTCAAGGACAGAAATTTCATATTGATAGTGCAATGAAAGAGTGAAATTTCACACAATAATTTTCAGTTTGTAATTGTGAAATATCATAGTTTCAAGGTTGTAAAAAATTGTGAAAATACCCTTTTTCAATCGCAAATTTAATGTTTTTGAAATGTGCAAAAAAAATAGTTTAGTGTATGGTGCTGCTTCCACTAATAGCATATAAGAAAAAAAATAGCTTAATAAATAAGCTAAAAGAGTTTAGGATGAATTACATCAGTAGTCTTTCTATTTTTTCTCATGTGATTTTAGTTTTTATAATTTCAATTATTTTGATTTTGACACTTAATTTTAAATTTTATATTAATTTGGTCCAATTGATAATGTCAATTAGAATTTTTGAAAGAAAATGATCATTGAGTTAGTTAAGGTTAACTCACTGATTTGAACAAATATATAATTGTCTATAAAAGCATAAAACATGCATCTTATGTGTGTATTTTCTATTAAAAAATAGTAATAATTGTTATTAATTGGAGTAAATTGATACAAATTATAAATTGATAGTCAAAATCAAGTTAATTGAAATTACAGAGACTACAATGGCATAAGAGGTAGAATATAGAGACTACTAGTTTAATTTATTGAAAAACTTATTATCTAGAAGTTGGGTAAAAAGCGTTTTAAATTTATACATTATGATAATCAAATTTCAGTTAAAAAAAAGTTGCACCAAATATTTCCTATGCTAGTGTCATGTGATGATAAATATATGATTTGTTGGGCCCATGGGAGGCTGTATTTAGGAACAAAACGAAATATGCATAGAAAAAATAAAGATAACGTATCTTAACTAGTTTCATCCACACACACACACTCAGAGAAAGGGTGAAACATGGAGAGTTCAAGCATGGAACAGGAAAAGCTACCAATCTTTGAGGTTGGGCCTTGTGAAAATGGTTACCATTTGGGCTTTCTCATAGGAAAGAGGTTCTCCAAACAGATAAGAAGCAGGTTGGCCACAGACCTCATTCTTCAAAACCAACTTCTCCCTTTTTCCCAAACCCCACAATTTCAGCCACTCCTCAAATCACTCTCCGACTCCAACCGGAACAAGTTTCCAACTTACTGGGATGAACTCTTGGGGACTGCCCAAGGGAGTGGCGTCGCTGTTCTCAATGTAATGATTATGCTCTAATTAGTCATATTTTTGGTTGGTTAATGTGACAGTGAGATTCTAATTTTTTTATTTTTTACTTTTGAAATGTTTCAGTTAATATTACTTAACTTCAGGAAAGAGATACTTCCATTTATTCCAAAGACAGCTACAAATTCTAATGTTGATCATACCACAGACGATGACTGTTTTGATGTTCTTGTTGTTAGTGAATCAATGGCCATTGCAGCCCACAATGAGGATGCAAATGTCGCTCTACTTGGCCACACGTAATGCTCTTAACTTAACCAATCTCTCTCTCTATATAATTTCTGAAATACTTAATTAAAGTTGATGAGAGATAATGTATTTTCAGTCAAGTGACATGACTCATCTCTGATGAATAGCTAGATAGCCCAGACCAATCTAGACATTTACAATATGCATACTGCTTTTAGCGACTCATAGGACACGATAAACAAACAAATGGCGAGCATATTTGAGTCGTTTTTAACCCAATGTGGTATTATTTGGATACTGGTATGTATATACTCCTCCATAGCCTGACCACATAAATGCTTGGTGTTTGTTTTGTTGTTTATTCTTTATCAATAAAGGGTTTTGCCATAAGTGTAATGCAAGGGTAGGGTCTAAATTATTGGTAAATGGAACAATTTTTTTTAAATGTGACATTGCAGCTATCTGATCAGGGCGACTCTGTCGAATGGACTATCCTTCACTGCTTATACATATGCAGGAGAACTCCCAAGCTGTGCATTTGGGTTCAACAATCATGGACTGGTAGAATCTCTAATCTATTATAAATCAAAATACCCAGTGTCACTTCTTGGTAAATTTTTTATGACCCAAATTTTGATCAATATATAGGTTTTGACCTCTAATCAATCCTTTGCCATGACTTGTGCAATTTAATCAATGATCAACATCTGATCAAATGAATTAATTGGACTAGCTTAGTTGGTCACTCCTAATATACTCTCAACAGAGAAGTCAATGGGGTCAAAATCATTTCTAGAGTTAAAGATTGATTATAGTACTCTTTCTTGTACTGATGTAGTGGTTGTTGGTGTTGGGCTAGGGACTTTCTTAAATAGTGTATTGTTCAATTTGATGTACTGATCTTAACATTTTTAAATAATCCCCTACGGATTGAACCAATATATATTATATATATTTGTGTCAAATGAGCTATGGCCCTGAATACCCTTGAGGTGCAGGTGCAACCCTGCCAACCCAGCACATCAGGTTCTATGTTGAGTTAAAATCTACTATGACATCCTATAGCTTGACTTAAATAATGGACTTGTACTTTGCTCCAAAAATGGTTTCCCTTAGGCATTTACACTGAATTCAGTACCCCCATCTGAAAATGAGATTGTTAGTGGTGCCATTGGAAGGAACTTCATCTCTCGAGATCTTCTTGAAGCAACAAGCATGGATGACGCATTAACTGTAAGCATTGCTTCTTCTTCTCTTCCTGAACCTTTGAAAATTTGGTTTAGATGATTTAGGTTTTTGATAGTATTGCCGTGCTTGTTCAGAGGATTCATTCATCAAATGCTTCAATTGGACATAGTTACAATCTGATCGACATAAGTACTCGTAGAATTTTGAATGTTGAAACTGCATCAAGAGACAGAGTCTCTGTCAAAGAGGTTGGGGCAATACCATTCTTCCATGCCAATATGTATCTCCACCTTCAAATTCAACAGGTAAATAAGCAGAGATTGCTTACAAACAATCCAAACTTGACAAAGAATTGAAATCTTAGGTTTCGCTTTGATCATTCTTTTTGATAAAGGTACGCGATGAGAACTCATTAAGAAGGCAAAAGAGAGCAGCTTTGCTTCCAAAACAATCCAAACTTGATTTCCTCTCTCTCCTTGGAGATACAGATGACACCAAGTACCCTATCTACATGACTGGTACACTGTAAAACTGATGAACCATAGTTTAAATTAGCACACTTGTATTGACATTATGTGATAAAGGTCCAATTCTTTATTTTCAGGTCCAATTCTTTATACATTATGCACAGGCATGATTGATTTGGATGAAGAAACACTATCAATTATTGAAGGAAATCCAAAGGAAGGACAAGTGACTCATGTCTTGAAAATGTCCTCAAAAGAGGTCAACATGCCACAAAAAAAGTGCTCGGCATCGTAGTTTGGTTGTGCAAGTGAAGGGTCTCAATTCTGCAGCTGAATTGCGGGCTCAAACAGAGGGCCTAATAATGCATGACCATTATATTCATTGCATTGACCATTATACTCATAACCAACACTTGATAAAAGGGTTGGTTGAAGTGGAAAATTATAGACAATTCCCGGAGTACCGCGTGTCTATACTTCTAATCAATCATAATTTATTCTGTCCTCTCATATTCCTCAATTACACAACACAATACCTCATATACCCACCTTTTCTCCGCCAATCACAATATTATGAAATGTCACGTGTATATTCCGGGATTACTGAAGTTGATATCATGTCTTTTGGAATTACAAGGTTCAAATGACATTGTAACTGTAAGCTTGACCATATTAATGTCATGAAATATGTTAGGGGAAATTGCCAAAAAAATAAATAAATAAATAAATAAAAATTATGGTTTGACACATGCAACAAAATAAATCTTGAGTTTTTTTTTTTAATTTTATTAATTTAAATCCTAATTTTTTGATTTATTTTCAATTTAAATCATTTGTCTATTTTTTTAAAGGGTAAATAACAAATAAACCTCCTGAGATTTCTTTAAAATACAGATTGCCCGTTGTGATTCAAAAAATTATAAATATTCTATTGTCATGATTTTTTATTTAACAGAATTAATTGAAAAAATGAAATTCATAACTGCCCTCCTATACAATAATAAAATTACATGAATTATTAATCGAAATATATTTCTAACATGGGTAAATTACAAATACACCCCTTGAGATTTGATTAAAATACGAATCACCCCATGTAGTTTTGAAAATTACATACCACCCCTTGAGATTTCTAGTTTCATAATAAATAGCCCATTTTATTAATAAATCATCAAGTCAATTAACATTTTTTAATGATGTTAGAAATATTTTTGAATTAATAATTTAATTAATTTTATTATTGTATAGGAGAGCAATTATAAATTTCATTTTTTTTAGTTAATTCTGTTAAATAAAAAATTCTAACAAGGGGATATTTGTAATTTTTCAAACTATAGGGGGTAATTTGTACTTTAAGTAAACTTCAGAGGTGTATTTGTAATTTATCCTTCTAACATTATTAAGAAACCTTTAATTGAGTTGATGATTTATAAATAAAGGGGCCATTTGTTATGAAAGTGGAAACCTTAGGGGATGGAATGTAATTTCAAGAATCATAAGAGTTGATTCATATTTTAAGAAAATCTCAAAGAGTGCATTTGTAATTTATCCTTTTTTAAAAGTAAAATTGACAAAAAAGAAAAAGAAAAGAAGAAGAAGAAGATATGCTAGTTATCAAACTCAGCGAAAAAGAGTATTTAGATATGAGAGACTTACGTATAGGTACTAATATGTGATGTCCTAGGTCTTGGGCTTGAATAGTATTGTGTAGTAGGGTAGTATGCATTTATTTCGGTGTTTTGTTTACCGTATCGAGTCGTTGAGATTCTTTTTCTACTCTTACCTAACTTCTCTTAACTTTTTCGAGTTGAAAATTTTGAGTTTTGGGCTTTGGAACTTGTTTCTAAATCCAAAATCAAACTTTGGGTTTCTAGGCAAAACTGCTAGTGCGGAATTGCGAACCGCCTTAGTGGATCATCACAGAGTCCTCTGGGTTTTCTAGGCAGAAAACTGCTCAAGTGAATTTTGGGTCCCGCTCGAGCAAATTTTGGTGAAATTTTTTAGGTAGCTCTCTGGAGCAATACGCCTGCGAGGCAAAAATTTCCAATCGTACGGATTGGAAATTTCGCTCTTTTCAGAATTGAAACTGGATTTCGGTTATTCTATCTCGAAATTTGTGCTATTGTCCTCAAAATTGATGCAAAAAATGTGATACATATAGATTTTTCACTCATCTCTCTCTATACTCATCTTTTCTCTCCATTCTCTCTACAAAAACACCCAAATCCAACTTCTCTCTAAGATTTAGCTCAAATCTTTAAGAGTTTGAGGGTGTTTTTTACATCAAATCGAAGAGGGCGACGAGGGCTACATTTGTAACAGATTGGATTGTGTTTTCGTCAACTTTGAGTTCTAGGGTTTTCTTTCTCTTCATCTCCCAAGCTTGAGGTAGGGATAATCCTTGAGTTATATATATATATATATATATATTTGCAAAATTATGTTTGTTTGAAGCATTTATTACATGTTTAAGTTATCATTTTGGGTTGTTGATCTGTAGATGATGTTAGAAGATGATTTTATCTTCTTCTTTTTTTTTCCAAAACCTTTAGGAATATGGGTTATGTTATAAGGTGTGGGCATTGTTTTGAAAAAACCTTTTCAAAAATGAAACAGAAAACTTGGTTTTGGTGGAAATCCTAGAATTTGGGGATTTTGGGAAAAGGTTTAGGTATTGTGAAATTTATGCCTGGTATATTGTTATGTGAAGAAATGATGGAGAAATTCCTATGATTGTATCAAATGAAGGAATTTCATGAAGGAAATGAGAATAGTTGAGTTTAAAACTTATCGTTGGTTTGTCTTGAAAAACTAAGTTTAGAAAATGATGTTTAACATGTGGAGAATATATGAATGTTGATATTGTTATATTGTCTCTTGGAAATATATATTATGATGTTATATTAATAAGATATATGGAATTTGATCACAATGAAGGATTGTGTGGATGAATTGAGAAATTTCAAGGCATTAATATAGAAATACATTGCATTGGCACTTGATTTCATTATCATCACCTTTCAAATTGGCATTGTTGAGATTATTAAATGGAACTTTATTATTGCATTAGACATTTGCATCACCATTCCATTTTGTCATAGATGGAACTGATTTTAAATATTATATTGGAAAAGTATTTCTTTGCGAAAGGAAATTGTTTTGTGAAACAAGATTATATTGATTTTTTTTTTTGGGTATATATGTTTGTAAGTCTGGATGGAGGGCGTAATTGGTATTGGTTAAGTTAGCCTGAGTGTTCATGGGAAAAGACTGAAAACACGAGTGGAGGAGGTACCACATGCCTTCCGGTTAGCAACCAGTAAAGTAGGGATTGGTAGTGCTTATTATGCCTACTTACAGACACCAACATAGGGATTACCTGAGTCGTATTTACCGCCCCTTTGAACTACATTAAAATCATTGAATTGTTAAATTCTCAAATTGCATTATGCACAAAGGTTTCAAAAGATAGAGACATATGTTTTTGAACATGGTATAGCATGTGCATTCATCTCAGGAGATTGTATAAAATGTATATACTTTGTTAAGATTTTCATATTGGGCTTTATGTTCACCCTATGGGATTTTGTGCTAGAAAGAATGTGGTGATCCTGCAGAGTTAGAGGCATGGTGTCATGACCCAAACCCGCCCCTGTAGGTTTAGCACCATAACTGGCCAGTAATCCGTGGATTACCAAAGGCCTCTGAACAGATTAGCAAATAGTAAGGGGCTGCAGAAGCAATAATACCAAATAGACAAGGTCCAATGAGCTGTGATAACGCACATGGGATAGAATATTTCACAACTCATTTACATATACGAAAGCATGCCAGTCCAGATACACAATATGTACAAGGTATTTACAAAATGTACTTCCCAAGACCTGACTTCACAAAATAGTCACATTGACTAGCATGAATACAAAAACAGCCATGGCATTAGGCTTCGTTCGGAACCTCCACGGGAGGCACAACGGTTGGCTGACAAAAACAGAACAGGAGGCCGTCAACTCTGGCCCTGGTCATGTGTCGGCTCACCTACATACATAATATAAACTGTGAGCGGAAGCCCAGTGAATAATAAGAGTAAATGGGTTTTATGAATGATGTCCAGCACAGTTTAGGATCCAGTATTTAAATCAAAACATATTCAGACTTCAAACAGAAATAGCTTTAGATACACACTCATATTCAATCAGATTTTTGCATAAGATCATACGTAGTACACCCATTAGCTATCAGATCAATTTGGTCCAGAGACCCACATGCATAGTTGGTACCAACGACAATAAAGGTCCATATCTTGCGCGCAAGTAGCCAAGGTATTGTTACCCCCAGGCAAAGGCCACGTGCAGATTGGCCGTGGTATTGTTACCCCTGAGCGAGGGCCACGCACAGATTGGCCATGTTATTGTTACCCCCGGGCGAGGGCCACGTGAACTAAGGGTGCCACAAATACTTTTTAGAAAATTGGACATCCATTCATAATTCGTAAGATAGCATTTCAAAAGACAGATCATACCATACTAGTCAGAAAATACTTAAGTTAAACATAACTTTACAGAGTTATTACCCACAATGGGCCTTGAGACAGACAGACGGAGTAACTTGGTCAAATGATATGTGGCACGTGACCTACACAACACATAACAGATGCACACTTGAAATACACGTTCTAATTGTACAAAATTTATTTCGTTGGCTCTTAGTGTGTTTCTAATCCCTTATCCTCATGATGAGGTCTTAAACATGACCTAGGAATGTCTAGGATGGAAGGAGGATACAAAAATGCCTTGAAAACCATTTCTCAAATTTTGCTGAAGATAAGGTCCACGCTCGAGCATGACTTTCCTCGCTCGAACGAACATACAGACAATGAAGCTTCGTTCAAGCGTGACTTTCCTCGCTCGTGCATATTGTAAACTCGTGAGAAAGTGCTAGATGCATGATTTTCACGCTCGACGGGCGCTCGACCAATGCTCGAGCGTGAGACTCAGACCCTCACTCGAGCGTGAATTCCCACGCTCAAGCAGGCTGCAAAACACAAGAACTTCTGGGTGTATGCATTTCATGCTTGAGCGCAACTCTCGCCGCTCAAACGGAAGTGCATGTGCTCAGGCTTCATGCTCGAGCGTGAAAGTCCCTGCTCAAGCGTAGGTCAAATTTCTGGAAAATCCTGATTGACGTCCAAGCATAAAACTCGACCTTTGAAGCATCAAACTCGATTTTCTGGGCCCAAAACTTTGGAAAACACTTAATAACTCATAGAACAACATGTATTGAAAATCATTTCAAGAAATCATGGCCCAAGAGCAACCCAATTTGTGAAAAATCAACATGAACTTTATGAATATGCTATTAATTCAATATGCAAGAACCTCTTTGAATTCAAACCCTCCAAAACATAATCAAACTTGATAATTTGATGGGAAACAAGTTGAATGACCATAATGTGAGTGAAATTAACACATGCATGGAAGGAATCCTAGAATTCAACTCAAAACAAGGAAATTTATGCATGCATGCATGGAGTGACTCTCAAAACAACACCTTGAGCTAAGTTTAGACTTTATATACCAATTTCACCATGAATCTAGCAAGGGCAACTCACATTCATAATTAAAAGGATGAATTCTCTACCTTTAGGTCTTCTAG